TTGTGTAGTTTGCTGCATTTGTTTGAATAGTAAACCCTTATTCCTTGATTATTTATTAATACACACACATTATATGTGTGTGAGAGAGGGAAGGGAGGCAGAGAGGGAAGCAGAGAGACTGACTGACTTCAGGATGCTCCAGAACTAAACTGGGAAGCCCATAGTGTCGGGAAAATATATTCTGCAAAGGCAGATGAGGGAAACAGAAAATAACTAATTTTGACATAAAAACATAATTTCAACATAAAATAACTAATTTCAAGTGCATTGACCCAGTCAGGGTTGATGAGAAAGGGCTGTTCTTAGTCCTTTTAAAAGGGACCTGGAGGGGATAGGACAGGGGAGAAGAGAGGACAACAGGGAGAGGCAACAACATAAAACACCTCGTGAATAGAACTTTTCTGCTTGCTTGGTGGGATGCTGCCTGCTCCATGAGATTTTTAATAAAACTGATTAGATCTTCAAAAAAAAGTATCCATCTGGGCCTCCCCGGTGGCGCAGCAGTTGATCACTGGGTTGCGAAGCTGCCCGCGGCCTCTGTGGCGCCGGTTCGATCCCCGGCTGCTCCCCGGCCACTGGAGGAGGGTCCCGCATGGCGCGCAGACCTCTCCTGCCACCCGCTGCTCCCCTCAGCAGTGTACTTCGGTCCTTCTGCCTGCTCTGCTCCCCGCTCTGGCTCTGGTGAATTCTCTCACCCTCCCGCGCTTCTGACTGTACCCAGTGCATGTATAAACAAACAAACAAACAAATAAATAAATAAACACGCCTCTATTAAAGACAAAAGTATCCATCTGACTATAATTTATAGTTAAACTTCTATTTTTGTTACGAACATGATCCACTTGATTGATTTTCCGTTTTGAGTTTCTTGCATAAATAATGTTCATTGTGAAGAAATTATCAGAGGCTCTTTAGGGCATTAGAATCTGTTTCATTCAAGGGGATTTTTTTTTTAGAGTAAATGAATTGAAAGAGAGTTGGATCTATATTGAAAATTGAAATTGCATGTTCATTGACACAGTTGAGCATTTTCAGAAACTTAACTCTGTTCCCCTGGGCTCAAAATTAGAGCTAACACTGCCTAACACAAACCTTTTGTGTTCTTTTTCTCTTCTCCAAAATCTCTGCCTTGGTTTTTTTATTCCTGGATACCACTGAAGGCCAAAAGCGAAATCTCTTATGGGACTTCTCTGAAATGGGCGACATAAAATATGATGTCATTCAATGTCAATCAGCTCTGAACCCAGCTGTTTATTTTTAACCTTTATTCTTTTTATTTATAATAAATTCCATTGTCTTGGTAGATTACAAGAAATAAATGTGAAGAAACTCTTGATGTCCATAGATTATAAAAGAATATGACAATTTATAAGGAAGAGTAGTTTTAGGTCAATTTGTTGTTAAACATCTGTGAGAAACTTCAGATTTAATGAAGCAATTAATGGAAAGCTATTCATGGTAATAAGCCGACCTAAGCTTTATAGCTCAGAAATAACAGAACATTTTATGAAACCTTTAGCGCCTACTTTTGAGTACAGCAGATTGGAGCTGATACCTAAGTCGTAATCTTTGGGCGCTTTGCTATTTTTCTTAGGTATTAAGCCCCCAGTGCAGAATCCGTACATGCACAGGGTCTGTTTCGGTGTGGCCAACGGTAGTCAAAGGTTGACGACAACCTAGCACCTTGATTAGTCCCTGGCCAAAAGTAGACCCCCACAATACGTAAGTTATTAAGGAATAAATTAAACATGTAACTATATAGTACATCCATGAAATGAAAGGGTAAGTAAGCGTTAACAAGATGATGGATCGATATAGTATGACTACATTTGTTAAAATCTGTCTGTATGTCCTTGTGTGAGATTACAGCAATAGCCCCTGATTAGATCTTGCTCATTCTTGCTGCCCTGCACTGTGTTCATCACACAGCAACCAAAATCAGTGCTCTGAAGGAAACAAGGGCCGATGGTGTCAGGTCACAGATTAGAGCCCTCTCGCCACTGCCTTTCCATTGCCAGTAGATGCGTGAAACTTGTGGCCTTGGCTGTGCCATAATCTAGCTCCTGCCCTTGCTTTCTGCAACCATTCCCTGATCGACCTCTGGCTTCCTTTCAGTTTCGACAATATGCAGAGCTCACTCTCCTCTAAGGCTCTCTAACTAGCTGCTCGGCCTGCTTCAAATGGTCTTTCCCTGTGCTGCCTACGACTGGTCCTCCTTAATCAGTTAATTTTTCCCCATGCAAACATAATCACCATGAAGGCAGGGACTCTGTCTTGTTTCTTATTCTGCTCCCATGCCCTCATCTTTGATGATCAAAGAGTCAACAAATGCAGAAAAGTATGAAAGGCTATAACCCAAATATTAATGATTATGATCACTAGGAGAAGATTGGGGTAATTTCAAGTGATGGTTTTCTTTTTGTTCATTTGTATATCTAATTGTTCTGCTGAAGTAATGTATTGTGTGTGCAATTCGAATACTCAGGTAGGCTTGAGAAAGTGGTATGAAGGCTTTTAGGCAATTGCAAAGAATGTGTTACCTGCACGCTCCATGCTGTGCAATGGTGCTGAATAAATATTTGCTGAGTCCATTCAAACCTTTATTCAAAGGGAAGACATTTCCCCTAAGATCTGTAGTTAGCTGCCCACCAGGTTCTGGTATGGGAGGGAAACATGTGTGACTGGCATCGGGTGCAGATGGAGAGAGCAGTGTCTCCCAGCTCTCTGACCTTCATGCCAGTGGCGTGCTATTTTCTGGCAATCACAGAGTTACTTTGCTCCAGGGAAAATCCACTATAAACAGCAGCACATGGGGCACTAGCGTGTGATTTGCTTCAGTACACACTGCTTTTTGCAAAGAGAACGGAGAGCATTTAGCTCCACATGTAACCGAGAGACTGGAAGAACTGTCTGCCTGTCTTCTTTAAGAAAATCTACAGTATAGTTGATCTTTCCAAGTCACTTGACTTTAATAGTAAATTGGTCAATAAAGATTCTTACACATACGTATTTTAGAAATAGGAATAGTAGTTATGGTCTTAAAATAGAAGGGTTATTTTGTTGTTGAAGCGTGTCCTGGTAAATTGGAAGTCATTTGTTTCAGTGTTTACAGCACTTTTTTTAGCTACTAAGTACTTGAACGCTCCAATAGCTCAAGAAAAGCTCATTTGTGAAGTTCATATCCTGTTTTAACTTTTTTACTTGGTGGAAATCTGTGTAAATTGGGGCGGGGGTGGGAGGCAGGGATAGGAATCCAAGTCCAAAATTTGATGAATGGTTGAGACGCAGAGAAGTCATTACAGGCATCAGAATCATATCTTTGACATGGAATTCCATCATTTTATATTCAGTAGGGGATTCGGTTACCTAACATACTTCGTGTATTTCATATACATTACATATTCGTGTGGTTTGACTGGTGTTCTTTCCAAATTTAGGGAGCGGTAGCTGAATGAGTGATGAAAACTAATTACAAAAATATTACAATATTCCAATTGTAATATGTTGTAAAAAAGCCAGACGATTCGTAGAAAAAAATCCCTTTTCTTCAGTGTCAGCAAGAGCAGCCGGGGAGACATGTGCCAAGAGTGGGAGTGATTTATGTCCAGAAGCCTCTAATGGTCTGGAGCAGCAAACCAGACGGCTTCTCGATCAGTGCCCAAATGTACAATTGGTTAGAGCTTCTTTCCATCTGAAAATAGGCACTGCTTAAAGAAAGATGCTTCATTATGTGACGCTCAGTCATTTTTGATTGTGTGTGATAATTGCCCTGCATAAAACTGAGGTGAAATAATCTCTATGACTTGGTGGCCTCCTCACTCCCACAGACACCTCCTTTGCTTTATAAAGTTGCTTGATTTTTCCCAACCCCCTTCCTTGGCTTCATACAAATGTGGTATGCCTAACAGAAGCATTCCAGGATACTTTGGATGAGAAGAGCAGAGACAACTCTGAGGAAAGTTGACTTACTCTATTGGTTGAAATACCCAGCAAAAGTGAAGCTATTTTGTGTATAAGTGGGCCTTGGTGTGAGATGCCAGAGTGGTGGATGGATCCCAGGGACATGGAACACCAGAAGGATGCTGCCTGCTTGGCTGAGAGACCCGGCAGTAGGCCGGCTATTGTAAAGCCCCTTCGCCAGATGAACAGGGACCCTTCTCTGGTCACAATAGCCATTCACGCTGAGCAGCCTCATTAAATATTCAGCCTGTGTTTCCGGCAGCTCATTAGGGCCGCAATGAGCAGTGACGTGGATGCTGGAAAGCCAAGGGCTGCCCAGCATCAGTAGACAGAGGCTGAGTGAGCTGCTGATGGCTTTTCTGTTCACTGCCTGTCCTGTGATGACCAGTGTTTGCTCTCTGCTTTGCCTGAAGTACAGGTAAAAACCAAACCAAACAGAATATAAGCGGATGACACTCGAGGGCTTCGGGTCCTCATCTCTGAGGTTGTCTGGCAAGGACCTCTGAATCTAGACTGTCTGCCCCCTTGAAGCCCTCTAACCCCCTTGTAGAGCTGTCTGCCGCTTCCGGGGCCTTTGCAAAGCACTAACAATGTGGTGCTACTGTGTACTTAGCTGTTTGATGACTGCATTTGGGAGGATTGGAGGTCTGGTTTTGAACTTGGTGCTGGGTGTTGAGAGTAGTACATTGTTTCTCTGTACCATGTAAAATGTTGAAATTGGGTGGTATAATCCTGGCAATTTGTGCATCAGGTTTACTCCATGCATGCCAACTTAATGTCTTTGAGAACTAGCCTCTCCCTCCCTTTTGACTGTTATTGTAGGTGAGGTGTCCTGAAAGTCAGTCTACAGTTATTTGAGATTCTTTGAATAAGCTGAATGTTGTCCTTCTTGTGTCTTGTTACTTGGCCTGGGTTTGCACTCAGCGCAGTGTGCTGTGTAAAGCTGGGGTAATCTGTGAAAGAACAACTGAAAAATGATGAATTCCGACAAATGTATTTCTCCGGTCTCACTCCTTGTATGTTTTCTCTTTCCTACACAGAAAATGTTTTCAGACAGCTCATTTCTATGTGGAAGATAGCAGTTCACCTCGGGTGGTCCCCAATGAAAGTATTCCTATTATTCCTATCCCGGGTAAGTAAGATACTACTCTTATTTACAGTGGGCTAACTGTTCTGCTCTTTGTTCTCGGTTTAATGTGACAGCCATGACAAAATATTACTTTTCTGGCCATTTAAAGCCTTCCCAGTCTAAGAGATGCTTAATTGTGATTTGACCAAAGTCTTTTCCCTTCACATATCTGCAAAGTGAAGAAATCCCCTTTAAAAGGAATAAATAATTGAACTAATGAAGTACAGATTCACATACAGGGAAGGGAAGTATCAGCAGAGAAAAAGGAAAAAGATACATATTTGCAATCTATTTGAACCGAATTAAGTTTGGATAGGTACTTTGTGCTTACATTTTTTTAAAGTAGAATTGGTGATACTTTTTTTAAAAGTGAGCTTTCTTTTAAGATTCCTCACTCAGAATAATTTATCTCAGTTTTGGAAGTTTTGGTTCTTGGGATGTTTGTGTGAAAGTCTAGAATACATTGTTGGGCTGGTGTATATTTCATCTGTCCTCAGCAAAAAGGTATATAGCATTAGGTTTATGTCGGGATAGGCACTGATGGAGTAAATCCTCACAAATGTCATAGACATTGAGGAGTTCAGCAGCAATGTGATAGGTGGAACAGGGGATTTGAAGGTGGCTCCCAGCATTTTTATCGGGTACCCCTTCCCTTTTGTCAGATTTGGACTTAGCTCTGGGTTTCCTTATATACCTGTAAACAGTGTGTCTTCAGATACTGTATACATTCATCAGCTGAATTGTTCTTTTGTAAACAGAGGCACTATTTATACTAGAGCGTACCCCACAACCTTGCAGCTCCCCCTCATCCTCCACAGGTCTGCCTCAGTCTCCAGTTTCCAGTCTGCAGTCTCCAGGAAACAGTCTCCAGTTTCCTTCTTCTAGTGTACCATACATTTTACTTGGGTTTTAGTGGGGGTGGGGAAGAGCGATAAAGGCAAGTAGATAGATGTCTTCTTAGTGCTAGAGTAACACCTGGATTCTTTAACTCTATGAAGGAATGTATGATTGAGTGAGTGTCAGTAAACCTTCCTTAAAGTTTTCAAGAGGCCATAGCTGCGAAGCTCAGAAGTATAGTCATTCTCTGGGCACTATGAAGAGCTGCTTCCACTGTTTGCAGATTCCTAGGTACAGTATGGTTGGGGACCTCACTAGCTTTTTATGCGTCTGTATATGTGACATCATTAGCTATTGCTGGCACTGGCTGTATTTTCTCCATACTCTGACTAAAGCTCATTTCTGTGACACAGAAATGAGAGAGTAGCAGATAAGTCTCTAAGTTCCTCTTAGATGCTGTTGTGGCTGCTGGATAATTCCCATAAAGGTGGGATAGGGCCTGTGTTACTGTGTGTTCTTCTCTACTGACCCTCACCCTTTACTCTGGGTGGTGGTCAGAACGCTCCTGCCTTTGAGAGGAGAGCGAGCAGACGGAGTCATCAGTCTTCCATCTGCACAGAATAAGTAGGTTTGTCCAGTCTTCCAGACGTATGCAATAACATGTGTATAATCATTTTTCTCTTGAATTACCTAGAATATGTGGTGATCTCTAGAAAATGCTTGGGAGCCGTTTTTTCTCCTCTTAACTGATTCATCTGACAAACACAGCTGTTGGGTAGCTGTGCATTTGAAAGCCATTTTAAAATGTGAAAATGGTGAGGTACTTCTTGGGCCTGTCTTTCAGTTTTTATTTTCTTTTCCCACTGGATTAGCGATCAGAAAACCTAAGTCTTGCCCTGCCTCCACCACTGAACCTTTATTCAGTGCCATGACCTCTCTGAGCCTTGGTTTCCAGAATTTCTAGTAAACAGAATGCCTGCCCTCCTTGCCACTAAAGACAGCGGCAGAGATTACATGAGGTGATAGGATCACAGGACCTTGGGAACCATAAAGGAAGCCAGAAGTGTCAGCTGTTCAAACTCTGCTTCCCAAATCATGCCATTGTTCACCCAGCACCCCCGGACAGTGAGCCCTGGTTCTCACGGTACAGTATCTCTCCCACCTGACCACATCCACAGGTGCTCCGTACCTCTTTGTGCTCTTTGACTTGAGTTTTGGGTCTTTGACTTCACCAGAACCTTAGAAAAAGCCACCGGTCACATTTGCCTTGCCACACCTCCAAATAGAGGTCTTAGGCCAGAAATGCTTTAGAAGGCTTTTTTTTTTTTTTTTTTTTTTTTAATAGAGGCATGTTTTTTTTTTTTTTATTTATTTATTTGTTTGTTTGTTTGTTTGTTCGTTTATACATGCACTGGGTACAGTCAGAAGCACGGGAGGGTGAGGGAATTCACCAGAGCCAGAGCAGGGAGCAGAGCAGGCAGAAGGACCGAAGTACACTGCTGAGGGGAGCAGCGGGCGGCAGGAGAGGTCTGCGCGCCATGTGGGACCCTCCTCCGGTGGCTGGGGAGCAGCCGGGGATCGAACCAGCGCGGCAGAGGCCGCGGGCAGCTTCGCAACCCAGCGCTCAACCGCTGCGCCACCGGGGAAGCCCCTAGAAGGCTTTTTGCTTCACTTCCCATCTACCTATTTAATTACTAAGTGAAATACTCACAAATCCACAAGCACTTCTTTAAATGATTTTTTCTCTCTTTTAAATAGGAGTTTTTCTTAATTCTTGCTTACTGGTAGCATAAGTACATGGAAAGAAAATCTTTGCAAATTCTCCACTGATGGAGAAAATCCATGGTATGTGGTTGTATCTCGCTTGGCATAGCAGGATGTGCCCTTGATAAGTTGCAACACCTTTGTAAAAAGGAATTGCTTCCCTTTTTTACTGTTACTGGGAAATGCTGCTGTAAGGCAGTGTGGTGTGCAAGGACTTCCACTACGAAACTGCTCTTACTCTGTTTACTGGGGTTTGCATAGTTAGCATGGCCTCGGAGGGGTGGGGGGTTGGGCACAGCAAGAGAAGTAGTCTTAGATTGCCCTTAACCAGGAAGTAACCCTACGTGACCTTATGTCACAGAACTTCCAACTTGATCACAATTACTGCTTCTTAAAACCCCACAGTCCTATTCAACAGTTGCATTTTGTAAATTATTTCATAATTTATGAAATGCTTTAACAGTCCATTCTATTTATTCATATGGTTTCTTCCCCTGTTTATAATACAACTATAACTGCATGAGAAAATCCATTTAAAAAATTACACCTTTTAGGGCCTCCCTGCTGGTTGGTGCAAGGGGTTAAGTCTCAGCACACAGCAACATGAGTTTGATCCCTGGCCAGGGAGCTACCCACATGGCGCAGCAGACCTCTCGTGTCTTACCTGCTGCTCCCCTCAGTAGTATATTTCAGTAGATCCACCTGGTCTGTTCCCCACTCTGTTTCTCATTAATCCTCTCGCTGTCCCCACTTTCTGGCCTACACCCCAGTTCTTGTATGCATAAATAAATCTTTTTTAAAAATCACACATTTTAATAAATGTGTGAGTTATTTTCACTCCATTAAAGCTTTCAATACAACTTTTCTTTCCTAGAGGCCTCTTGGGATCGTTTGAAATGATTTAACTTGGAAATTAACTAATTGTTTTTATTTCTAAAAATAATAGCATGTTTGTAGAGCTCATACTTGGCTCATAAAGTTCATACAAATTTTGCCCACTGGATATAGTTATAGCTTATCTTTATTCAAAATCTAATAAACAAGATTACTGGGCTCCAGATTTATCAATTTTTAATCACTTGAACTTTTCATTGTCTAGGATTCATATTTTTTTTTAATTTCCTAACAAGCACCAGTAAAGCAAACCATCATACCAGTTAAAAATGTGTACAGAAGCATGAGACTGGAAATTCAGGTATCAAGCTTGTAAAATGGTGGTCCAGAGTCATCATTGTAAGATGTTGCTAGAACTTATTTCCTAGGTAAGATTTTTTAGAAAACATCCTCTGACATTGATCGAGCACTTGCCAGATATGGGCCGTATGCTCATTTTCACTGCAATCCTGTGGGCACAAGTGCAGTTGATGTCCCCATTTCACAGTTGAAGAAACTGAGGGTAGGAGACACTATTTAATTTCCACAAACTTACACCCATAAGGGAGCTGGCGTTGGAATTTGTGTGAGATCAAAACACAAGACACTGAAAGATAACTGCCACTTTTTGCCACGCTGCTCTAATATCTTGAGACTTCAGACTCCTCATTCAGATATTTCTTCATTAAATCGAGCCATTTTCACTGAATACCCTTTAGCTTTTTCTGAGTAATTGTTCTGTGCCATTATTTTACTACTTGCCACTCTCCTAGATTCTTTCATCCTTCCAGAGCCTCATAATTCTGCTGTTGAAGTTTCCTCCATATCATATCCTCTTATCTTCACTTATTTTTATTCTTTTCCTAAGAACTACTCTCAACTTACAAATACCTCCACTCCCTATGCAAATATAGGTCTGTGTGATTTCAGAGACTTAGGGAGCAATGCACAAACATGTTGAATAAATTCAGTCACTGAATCAGCAACTTTTAGATGATTCTACTGTCGTTAAAATTCATAAATCACAGCCTTGATTTTTCAATCCCAAAGCACAAATAAAATCAGTAAGTTATGCTGACTTCTAAAAAATATTATAAAAGAGGCAAAAGATTAAGGGAAGCTTTGCCAACCTTTTGATACATCTTGGTGCCAGTGATATATAGGAATTTCTGAGGAGATTCTAGTAGCTAATTTTACTAATTCTAGCAAATTAATTTAGATTCTTTAGCATCTTCAGTGTGCTCTTCTGGTTTAACAAGGCAGTGATGGTCTTGTAAGAGATGTTTTTTCTTGGTCTCACTTACACTTACATAAATTGTGAAAATGCTAGAGGCTGTGGATTTGGTGGCTAAGATTATTTAGCCACATCAGAAAGAACTCATAATGCAAGCGTAATTATCTACCATGAAAGAAGTACGTTTGAGGTTAGGTTCCAAACACTATTAGAAGTGACATCAGTCCTTTTATCAGGAAAATTTTGAAATATAGTGCTTGATTTTTCAAGTATGAAATATGCATAAAGTGGGCTC